TGGACCTGGTATTATTATTCATGAAATTATCCAGCTCCCTTTTAAAAACCCACTTTGTTTGACTTAATGAGCCACTGCAGCAGTCATCACTGTTAGAGAGCTTGGGGGCGGGAGGGAAAGTCTTTCTCTTCTTAAAAAGAGCTAGATCAGGGTCAGTCTGGCTTCTCCAAACATACCCACCTTCTTAACGTTCATATCCTGGCTCTCTCAGTGACTTTTTGTCCAGGCAGACCGATGTAACCTCTAAACCTGCTCGTATCAAGTAACTGAGCAGGTGAATTACAGGGAGCTGTTGTCTTCCTCTGAAGTATCAGACTAGAGGGTCTAATGGTCTGCTATAGTACAGCAACTATTACAATCACAGCCTTCACTATGGGTGAGAATCCTCCAGTTCAGAGGGTCGTGAGCTTTCTATACTTTCTTCTAATCTGTATTTATACAATGCTTACCAGCATGGTGGTATTTGGAACCCACATTAAAGGCTTAAATGGCGCATAGGACTTGTGGTGGATTCTGTGCTGGGGTGAATTTCACCTTCTGTTGTCACTGGATTGCATGAAGAGTGGAGCAACCCTAATTTTATTTGTCTACAAAGCTATGACCGTGACTTTTTATTTTTGAAAACTGCCTCTCACGACTTCTGCCCTTTCACCCCCAGACTTTCGCTAAACTGTCTCACGACAGCCATCCCAGCACTAATTCATTAATGTCTATTTCCTTCCCCAGTGAGCTGCATAAATCATTTACCGGCCCACTCCTGCCCTGTCCAAGTCATTCTGAAATTCTATTGCCTTTGCCTTTTAAGTTGACAATAATCTGCCCCTGCAGTTTGTGTCATTATCCGTTCTTTATCACCTTGCTATATTGTCTTTTTTCCAGACCACTGACACAAAACGTGAATAAAACCACGTAATGGAGATCTTTGTGACTTTCTCCAAGTCATTATCCTCCAGCCCAAAGTGCAGCTGTCACAGGTAACATCTACCAATATGAATGACAAGGGAGAATTGGACCTAATTGTCCTTAGATGCACTGGTGTAAATCTGGAGCATTGCAAGCAGTAGAGTTACTCAGGGCTGGATCTCAACGGAAGGTTTACTGTTAAAATGGGGGGCAGGGAGATAGGACACCTTGGTTCTGTCACTAGCTCTCTGTGGAGCTGTGCTTTATAGGCCTTTGCCTGGAGGAAGGAGTGGTGGAAGCTGCATGGACCGAGAACGCAGATTGAGGAGGAATTTGCCAGACTCGGCACAGTTCTGAGCAGCCTGCATTGCAGGGGCACCAGGCAGGCTGACCATAATTTGGATTGGTGCAGCCTGTTCTGGAAGAGCGATCTGTTCCCTGATGCAGGCCAGTGTAGAGGGACCTGGGGCCATGGTCCTGTCTCCTCCATGCCATGCTCCCCCCTGTGGGACTCATGGGGGGTATAGTCCCTGAAGCTTCTGCACTACAGTGGTTGGAGCCACAGAGGCCAGCCATGCCAAGACCCAAGCAATACCCAGCTGGCTGTGGAAGCCAGTGAGGAGGAGTCGTCATCAGGATCTTCACTCAAGTACCCTGAGACCCAGAGGACTCATGGACTACAGAGTGGGAAGACAGGGTAGGAAGTAGCCCAGGGGAACCAGACATTGATCTCAATGTGTTTCAGAAGGATCCCCACTAACCCAGTGGCAGGTACGCTCACCACTGATAGGGCCCTGGGCTGGGACCCGGTGGGGTAGGGGAGGTCCTGGGTCTGCCTCCGCCTGGCTGCCAGCTCAGCCATGGGTGGCAGCCGACCCTCCTTGGGCTGTTAAGCCACACTGCCCTCTACACATAGGGGCAACCCCACTGACTCTGGCCACTAGACCATACCACCCAGCTTATAAGGGCAACCCTATTGAATCTGGCCGCTGGGCCACACTGCCCCCATGTATAAGGGCAACCTAATTGTCTCTGATCATCAGGCCATACTGCCCTGAAGCTAAGGGCAGCCCTACTGACTGTGGCCACTGAGCCATATTGCCATGGCATTGAAGGGTGGTCCTATTGACTCTGGCAGGCTTACCATATTTGAACATTCAAAAAGAGGACACCCAATGGGCAGGTATTTGCTCGCACCCCTGGTCCCGCCCAACTCCACCTTTTCCCACCCTTTCCCCTGCCCCCATTCCAACCCTTCCCAAAGTCCCCACCCCAACTCTGCCCCTCCCTGCCCCATTGGACCCCTCCCCCAAATCCCCACCCTGGCCCCCACCTCCTCCCTGAGTGCACCACATTCCCCCTCCTCTCCCCACAGCCGCACAAAGAGCTGATCAGCACTCTCTTCTCAATGATCAGCATTCACTTTTTCTTGAATGATCAACTCTTCTTTGGGGAAAAATAATAATGGCAAAATCCCGGACAAGTTTTTAGATATTTAAAATTCCTGAGACTGCGATTTAAGAATCAAAAGCCAGACATGTCCGGGAAAATATGGACGTATGGTCACCCTAGACTCTGGCCATTAGATCACACTGCCATGAGGTTATTTATCAGCCATAACACCCCCTTCGCCCCCCAAGAGGTGACAGGTATACCTGCCCCGCTTACAGACTGAGTTTAAACTATTTATCCCAAAGTCCTTTTGTTCTCTGTTGGCCTTCTGGAGAATCAAGTTTGAAATAGTACAGGTGAGCCTCCCCAGGAACTGTCCAGGATGTGGAACACCCTGAAGCTGTTACAACCTGAATGAATTTGCCTAATCACTCTACTTTTTTTAGTTCCTGGAGGCTGTGATTACTCTCCCAGGCCCCAGTGGAATTACATACAATCCCTACCTGCAACGATAGGCAGTCTCATACTGTAAGAGCTCCCACAGATATTGCAGGAAATTGCCATCTCTGTCACAGTTTTAACCGATACCTCTTTGTCTGTGAATTTCTCTTCAATCTCAGAGACTCGACAACTCTTATGACCATCCCTTTGTTTTAAATGTATCGAAAACAGTCCTATTATTTGTCTTAACCTTCATTCTCCACTTAAACTTTTCTTATCATTTGTACACAGCTCATCATTGTGTAATCTCTCCAAGCCTCTCAGGTCCTGAGAGTTGAAAAAAGAAAAGGAGGACTTGTGGCACCTTAGAGACTAACATATTTATTTGAGCATAAGCTTTCGTGAGCTACAGCTCACTTCATCGGATGCATTCAGTGGAAAATACAGTGGGGAGATTTATATATATATATATATATATATATACACACACACACACAGAGAACATGAAACAATGGGCATTACCATACACACTGTAATGAGAGTGGTCAGGTAAGGTGAGCTATTACCAGCAGGAGAGCGGCCGGGGAAAGCCTTTTGTAGTGATAATCAAAGTGGGCCATTTCCAGCAGTTGATAAGAACGTCTAAGGAACAGCGGGGGCGGGGGGGATTAAACATGGGGAAATAGTTTTACTTTGTGTAATGACCCATCCCCTCCCAGTCTTTATTCAAACCTAAGTTAATTGTATCTGGTTTTCAAATTAAGAATAAATGGACACAAATCAGACGTCAAGCATTATAACATTCAAAAACCAGTCGGAGAACACTTCAATCTCTTTGGTCACTCGATTACAGACCTAAAAGTGGCAATTCTTCAACAAAAAACCCTTCAAAAACAGACTCCAATGAGAGACTGCTGATTTGGAATTAATTTGCAAACTGGATACAATTAATTTAGGCTTGAATAAAGACTTGGAGTGGATGGGTCATTAGACAAAGTAAAACTATTTCCCCATGTTTATTTCCCCCCCCCCCCCGCTGTTCCTTAGACATTCTTGTCAACTGCTGGAAATGGCCCACTTTGATTATCACTACAAAAGGTTCCCCCCCGCCCCACTGTCCTGCTGGTAATAGCTCACCTTACCTGACCACTCTCGTTACAGCGTGTATGGTAACACCCATTGTATCATGTTCTCTCTATATATAAATCTCCCCACTATATTATCCACTGAATGCATCCAATGAAGTGAGCTGTAGCTCACGAAAGCTTATGCGCAAATAAATTTGATAGTCTCTAAGGTGCCACAAGTCCTCCTTTTCTTTTTAAGATATGTTTGTGACACTCTCTGTGCTTCAAGGGAATACCCTGCACCCCCATATTCATCCTTATAATATGATTGTGTGGTATCCAATGCAAAGTTTGTCATGTCGGGTAGTCTTCAGAAGGCTCATGATGCACTGAACACTGTTGTTATAGTAACGTTATAGGTTATAATTTCATGTATATAGTTATGAGGCTGAAAATGTATCCTCATGGCTTAAAGCAAGCCCAGACAAAAACTCTCCAAGAGCAGAGGCAGTTCACACCTCATCAGGGCAGGTGAAAACCAGCCATCTCAGACAAAGGACGCTGGCCTAGGCAGCAAAAAAAGCATCTGTTGGACTGAGTGAGTCACCTCCTTTCCTTTGGTCAGTTTGGGACTGCAATGAGTGTAATGCTCACCACTCTGAAGGGGACACAGGGCAAAGCCAAGGGGGAAGAAAGACACGATAAAAGGGAGAGATTTGCTATGCTCTCTCTCTTCCACCTACATCGAGAGACACCATACAAAGCGATTGAAGCACTGATCAAGGGGGAGAGCCTGGCTGAAGAGCAACCAGCCAGCCTGTGGTGAGAAGCGTCTAAGTTTGTAAGGACACTGAAAGTGTTAAGATCAGCTTAGGAATGCATTTTGCTTTTATTTCATTTGACCACATCTGACTTGTTATGCTTTGACTTATAATCACTTAAAGCTATCTTTGTAGTTACTAAATCTGTTTGTTTATTCTACCTGAAGCAGTGCATTTGGTCTGAAGTGTGTCAGAGGCTCCCTGGGATAAGAAGCCTGGTACGTATCAATTTTTGTTAAACCAACAACTCTCATAAGCTTGCAGCATCCAGCTGGCAAAATTGACGCTGCCAAATAGAGGTTCCTAGGGTTGTGCCTGGGACCGGAGATATTGGCTAGTGTCATTCAGTTGCACAATTCAAGGAGCATCTTACAGGCTAGAGGCTGTGCGTGGAACAGCCCAGACTGGGATTCTCACAGCAGAGCAGGGTAAGGCTGGCTCCCAGAGTCAAGGATAGCAGATCACCTGTCAGGATAACACCAGATGGGAACGCTACAATGTTTTATGTAAGATGGGTCATGAGGCATCATTGGAAAGGTTATGATTTACTGAATATGATTATCCTATTTGTATGCATGTATAATTTCTTTATCTGAAGTTAGGAATATTAACTATGTAACAATTACAACTGTGTTTACACTTGGAGAATGCCCACAGACAGTATGCAATCAGTCCATGGGCCATTAGGAAGGACAATAGGACTTGAAGATGCTAATCTCCTCCTTCCTGAGAAGTCTCCTGGAATGTTGCTTTGACACTGCAAGGTCATGTGATCATGTCCCCTGCTACTGAAAACCATTTTGGACTGCTAGTACTTTTTCACTAGGAGGGGGTGGGAGCTAAACTGGAAAACAAAGGAATCCTGCCATATTCAAATCCTATTTAAGACTGGGGAGTGAGTTAATCTAGGTTCTTCTCCACTGCCTCCCTACCCAAGAAGGAAGACTACTGAAAAAACCTGAAGAAACAAAGGAACTAAGCTGAAGGGGGTGGGGGAGAAACAGGGGCTGAGCCTAGGCGAGAAAGTCTAGCCTGTGAAAGGAATACCTGAGATTAAGCTGCAACCAGTGCAGTTTACCTTCAAGAAACTCTGCAACCTGCATAAAACAACATTTAGGGTCAGAATTTGCTACTATTAACCAGTTAATTTAGCGTATTAAGCTTAGGGTTGCGCGTTTTGTTTTATTTGCTCAGTAATCTGCTTTCATTTGTTTACTATCCCTTATAATCACTTAAAATCTTTTTGTAGTTAATAAACTTGTTTTTTGTTTATTCTAAAACACATTTTGTGCAATTCATAACTGGGAGGCGGAGGGGACGATAGGAAAGCTGTATATCTTCTCCACATTGAGGGAGGGAGTTTAATTTCATGAGCTTACGCTGTATAGATCTCTAAACAGTGCAAGACAATATAATTTTGGGTTTATTTTCCAGAGGGGTTGCACTTGAGTGCTGGGCAATTCCCTACCCGAAAGATCTCCCAGGCAGCACTGATTTCAGTATTGGGTGTCATTCTTGCAGCTGGGTATGTCCCTACCTGTAAAAGGCTACACGCACACACGCATGCATGCACACACAACAGGACAAGGTGAGGGAGCCCAAGCTGGTGGAACAGGTGGGTCCACTGGAAACCCAGTACATCAGGTGACACCCTGAAAGGAAGGGTGCAACCCATCACAATCTCTCTTCCCATCAGTTTGAACTTTGGGGGTATAGAAATAAAAATCCCTGACCAGAAGGAACTGTATTATTATGCTGCTTGGAATTTGGAGAGGGCAATATTTTAAGTATAATCAAGGGATCCACAAGCTACTTAGCTTGGGTTAGCCCTAAAAGGCATGTAGAGGCAGTACATTACAGCAGCTTCTATTACTTTTGAACCTAAGGCTTTAATTAATTTGTGTGTATGTTTACTTACTTTAATCATATAAACAACTAAGAAAAAGTAGTAGGAATTAATAAATCTTTAGTTAGTCTATTACAAGATTGGCTACAAGTGTCATCTTTTTTGAGATATCCAGGGTAAAATTGATCTAGGGTAAGTGAGTAACTGGTCCTTTAGGACTGGGAGTAACCTGAAAATTGTTGTGATTTTTGGTAAGGGACCATCTATTAAAAGGCAGGCTTACCTGGATGGCAAGATACACCAGAGTGCCCAAGGGAACAGTCTGTGACTCCATGCTAATGCTGTTATATAGCACGAAGAGTTCACATTTGACACTAGGTTGGTGAAATCTAATTATAAAACAAACCAGTTTATGCCCTGGTTTGTAAGTCTGCTCTTGACATTGGCACCCATGTTTGTGAGCCACTCCAGATAGCTTGATAATCCTAATCCCAGATCAATTACAGATACAGGGAGAAAAAAATGCATTCAAAAAGAGGAAGAGTTTATCTTCAAGATTAAATACTAGCCTGATGAGAGGTCCAGACCCCATTAACATGCTGAGAAGGGTTAGAGTAGGAGCTTCCATTGACACTGCTTAGAGCTCCAACTTTCTATTTCAGCCTATAGATAAGTGCCAGGAAAGTTATCTACCTGCCATTGGCAGATGGACTTGGACCATGCCTGGAGTGTGGCATCTTATAGTTTGAAGATTCTAAGAATGATTTCCAGATCTATAGTACACAACCTAGAGACATCCCAAGCAGGTTTCCATAGAACTCATTTGTTTTCACTACTAATCTTGTCACAAGATAGTTGATTTACAGGTTTTATAACACCATATGCAACCACCTGGGTTTTAGTGATCTAATTAGGGTAATGATATTCCTTACTATTCACTTAAATTCTGAATTTACCCTTCTTGTACGCAACTCGTAAAATGTCCTCCACTTGTTCAGCAAAGCCCATGTCCAACATCTGGTCAACTTCATCCAGGACAACATGCTTGAGTTTGGAAAGATCCAGCTTGCCATTCTGAAGGTGGTCTTTGATTCGACCTGGGGTCCCAACCAAGATGTCAATGCCACTTCGAATTAGATCAACTGAAAGAAAAATTAGTAAAGATACATGTAAGAGCAGAAGAGTTTAGAAAATGGCAGCAGCTTACAAGTACAGGATCACTTTCACTATTTTGCAATACTGCATTGATAAATGCTCTAGTTGAACAAAGATCAGAAAATTTATACAGCTGAGAAATACTGAAGTCTTATGTCAGAGTTCATTTCCAAATAGAAGAGAAGGGGAATGAAAACTGACAAAAGGATAGACAGGAAACACAATGGTCTCAGCATTGTGAAATATTTTTTCTTCACGCTGCTGTCAATGTCACTTAACCCACCCCCCTTTCCTGAAATCCTACAGAAAAACAGGATTCCTCCTCCTCTCTGCCAAACCCAATAGCTATGCCCATGATGCATAATCCATTAACAATGAAGTGTCTTCTTTCCACCCTAGTTATCCATTCACAACCATCCATAAAAAACTAATATTACCATAATATAGAATTTTTCCTCCATCCTCCTGATGTAAGGATCCTCTCATAAGAGATCCAGCTACTTGCAAAGATGCCATCTCCACTGACAGCTTTAAGACTTAACATCTTGCACTTTGAGATTTACTTTATTGATGTTTGTAAGACAAAGGTTATTTACAAGAAACAGGACCAACTACGTTTACATACACATAGCAGGAAATGTCCTCCTCTCTCAAACACCTAAGTCAATCTGGAAAAGGTCCAAGACCCCTGGAATAAGGAAGGCAGCTATGTGTTTTACTAAGGATCCTCTTGTTTTCCTAGCACAGATGGACAGAGTAGGCTACTTAGTGTCTTTAAGAGTCTTCAGTTTCTGATTAAAATTATTTATTTGGAGAGAGAACAGTGTTTCAAATGTTACCAATCAATCCCAGATCAATCATTAAACAGAAGCCTTACTTACTTTGTCCATTGTATGCCGTTCCTCCATAAAAAAACAAGCCACTGAGAGTGTCTTTGTGATGTCCTTGAAGTCTTTGGCTACCTGGTTTGCCAACTCTAGTTGGAGTAAGAACTAACACCTACACAGAAGGAAGAAAGAGTTAAAAATAGATGTTCCTTCACTTGGAGTCTGTCAAGAAGCCACAGAGGTTTTCCATTTAGGTCGGTATATTTACACCTTGTCATAAATATAAAGGGAAGGGTAAACCCTTTGAAATCCCTCCTGGCCAGGGGAAAGCTCCTCTCACCTGTAAAGGGTTAACAGCTAAAGGTAACCTCGCTGGCACCTGACCAAAATGACCCAATGAGTAGACAAGATACTTTCTAAAAAGCTGGGAGGAGGGAGAGGGAACAAAGGGTCTGTGTCTGTCTGTATGCTGCTTCTTGCCAGGGGACAGAACAGGAATGGAGTCTTAGAACTTTTAGTAAGTAATCTAGCTAGGTATGTGTTAGATTATGATTTCTTTAAATGGCTGAGAAAAGCATTGTGCTGAATAGAATAACTATTTCTGTCTGTGTATCTTTTTGTAACTTAAGGTTTTGCCTAGAGGGGTTCTCTATGTTTTGGAATCTAATTACCTCTGTAAGATATCTACCATCCTGATTTTACAGGGATTTCTTTATTTCTATTTACTTTTATATTTTTTATTAAAAGTCTTCTTGTAAAAAACTGAATGCTTTTTCATTGTTCTCAGATCCAAGGGTTTAGTCTGTGGTCACCTATGCAAATTGGTGAGGCTTTTTATCCAACATTTCCCAGGAGAGGGGGTGCAAGTGTTGGGAGGATTGTTCATTGTTCTTAAGATCCAAGGGTCTGGGTCTGTAGTCACCTAGACAAATTGGTGAGGCTTTTTACCAAACCTTGTCCAGGAAGTGGGTGCAAGGTTTTGGGAAGTATTTTGGGGGAAAGACGCGTTCAAACAGCTCTTCCCCAGTAACCAGTATTAGTTTGGTGGTGTAGAAGTGCCATTCCAAGGATAACGGGTGTAATATTTTGTACCTTTTGGGGAAGTTTTGACTCAAGCTGGTAAAGATAAGCTTAGGAGGGTTTTCATGCAGGTCCCCACATCTGTACCCTAGAGTTCAGAGTGGGGGAGGAACCTGACACACCTCTATTGTAATTGTTGCAGGTTTAAAGAATGGCATTTAAGCACAGTTCAAGATTCCTATGGCCTCATCAAATCACATGGTCATTTTACATGCTTGTAAAGGACACTGCTACCTCACATAGAAAATTACAGCAATGACAACCTGTGTTAAGACCTAAACTTAATACAATCTATTAAAATATTTTAAATTAAAAAATATTCAAGCAGTACATATTTGCTGCTGAATTTCTGAAGAAAGTCAAACCACTGAACTGGTAGTCACTGCTACACCTGGAATTGCAATTTGTTGAAGCGCTAAACCAACTTTTGACAGCAGTAGTCACTTCTGCAGGTGCAAAGAGAATATTTTCTTCATTTCAGTTCATTCACCCAAAATTAAGACACCAAGTGGGAGTTGGTGGGAAAGTCAATTCCTCCTCTTCTTGAACTCCTATGATTCTTTCAGCACCAGAGAGGATGAGTGTGCCAGGACTCAACCAACATCGGACGTGCACTTCTCACAGAAGCCCAAGTGCTGAACACTCTTTCCAACCAAGGCGGCTCTGAAGGTGGTCTCCATCAAAAGAAACTTTAGCCTGACCTCCTCTCTAACTTTCTTTGGTCCTCACAGTTTGAAAATCATTACAAGTCTCACACCAATCACTAATGCGAGACTCAGCCAGACACCTTTGAACAACTAGAATGTGGATAACGCATAAGCATCAGTTTAGATGAAATATAGGCTTGAAGCCCTGTCACTAAGGCATTCCTCAGTACCCCGATACAAATGGAACCCAAATTGGATGTAATCTGAGAAACTAACTTTAATAAACGAAATGTTATTACTAACCAAGACTAGGAATTTATATACAACTAGATGCTGAAAGAGCCTGCTGAAGCAAGACAAATTCCAACAACTGTCAATGGCAGTAAGAAGGAACTCAGGACGCGAGATGCAGCTTTGCTCCTTTATACCTGCACACAGTGGCAGGGGCAGCGGAGAGTGCTTGAGCTGCGCTGTTGGTTACTACTAAGGGAAACATTCTGACAACAAGAAAAGGAGTACTTGTGGCACAGTGCTCGAGGTAAAAAACACACTCAAGAGTAGAATGCCCATGTGCAATTGTTGAATAACTGGAAGAATGGTTGCAGCCACTCCACCCTTTACCCTCCTACTTGAGCATGAGGTGGCATGTGGCCCCAACTGACACTGCTGTTCAAGAGACAGGACCTCCTCAGGCACATGCACACCTACAGCAAAATCTACATGGGCACATACTTTAAGAATACTTTTTCACCGACGACTAAAACCTGAACCACTCTGACAAAATACGGTAAATGTGACATCAGAATTTGTTCACTATTGCATCATTTATTTACCTTTTGGCTGCGGCCTCTTTTCCGCCTGCATTTCTCCCTGAAGTTTTTCAATCATGGGAATGGCAAAAGAGAACGCTTTTCCCTGCTCCAGTTCGAGCTTGAGCTACAACATCTTTGCCATCATATATGTGCTTGAAGGTTTTTACTTGCACAGGAAACAGGTACGTTACACCTCGAGCTGTGAGACAGTCGGTCAAGACTTTGCTAAAAGGTCCAGTGAGCTGATAAGTACATTATGTTTGTGCTTGAGGTATAACCTGGAATGGCAGATCACCACAAGCAGACTAGACACCATCCCCAGAAAAGCAGGACTAGCACACTTTCTAGTTTACTTAGTCTCAGAATCCAGTTCAGTAAGGCTCTTGGACTCACTTCACCCAATTTGCTAACACTGCCTTCCCAGAGATACTGATTATTCTGTTCCTACCCAGCAACTTTCCCACCAGAGAAGAATTATGCTGCCCTCTATGTATGCACTACTCTCCACCCATTTCTTCAATCTCTGAGTACTGCTTGATTTAAACCAGTAGTTTATGAATTACTTGATCTTGTTATAATATTACATACAAATACGTTATAAATTTGTTCATTAGTATTGAAGTAAGAACTTTAGTTCAATTTCAGTGGAATTAATTCTTATTCTGTAAAATGGAATAAAGTAATTTTAAGCACAGTATCTTGATATTGGGTTTATGTTAGTTAAAGTTCTAGCATAAAGGCTGGGCTGACTGGGACAACATATGTGGATAATATGCCATTTGGGTACCACCAGAAGTGCGACAACAAAGCGATACATAAGGGTAGGGGACACATCATATTTCCTGGAAGTTATTACTACTTTTTCCTACAATCAACAAACAGAATTAAAGATGCTTCTGTTCTGTCAGTTTTACTATTAAACTATTATGACAAGAAAGTTACCTCAAGAAGCTCAATAGTTTTCTTGGAAAATACAAAAAATTGGAGAAAGCACCTTCCTTCTGCTCTGCAGTCAGTTCCTGTTAGGTAAAAATACTTTGCACATAAGTCTTGAGCATTTCAGAGGTAAGAAAATTAAGGCAGAAAGGGTTAAATAACTTGTCCCAAGGTCAGCTTTTCAGTAGCAGGCTCAGGACCACAATGCAATAATCTAAAATCCAACCTCTTGTTCTAACTACTGAACACCACTGCCTTGTGTGACCTCCATGTAATGGATTTAAAACTTACATTAGAAGTCACATCTTCTATCTAATGCACGTGAAATAGCAAGGCTGGCGCTTATCTGGCCCCTCTTGTGGAGGGGGACTGAACTCACAGAAAAATAGGCTTGTGAAGTTTTACTTGGTGCCCCTCACAGAGCCCTGAAGTCCCCATCCTAGCTTTCTTTCCTCCGAATTCTGTGTTGTAACCATCACAAATTCAATGGATGCAAGTTACACGTAACTAGGGCTTCCAGTACTTGTTCAGTTTAATTCAGGGATGTTTATTTTTAAAAACAAAGTTACTGGTGGCCCGGTGCTAGTGATTTGTACCTCCGGAATAAGCAAAAAGTCAGGTTTGATTCCACACCTTACTCCCTGGATTAGCTGCACACTGGTGCAGTGCTAAGGCATTAGTTTCAAAAACCTTACACATGAACCACATTTCACTAACATCAATGCCTTCCACAGATTATGATGCCATTTTAATACAGTTTTGATGATGTAGTGGCTACAACACAGAATTTGAGGAAAGCTAGGATCGGACTTGTGGCTCTGCGAGGGGTACCAAGTAAACGTCACAAGCTCTTATTTTTCTGTGAAGGTTCAGTCTCTCTCCACAAGAGGACTAATGAGCACCAACCTTATTGCTACTTCACATCAAATGGGGCTCAAGCAAGGAAAACAAACTATAAAGAAACAACAGAAAAAAACATGGAAGTTACTGCTTCTCTTCCACCCTTCCAAAAGAAGGTTTTCAGCAATAAGCACATTACATTTAGAAGCACAAACTCTTGTTATGGTTGGGTAAATTTGGGGAACTAATCTGCAGTAAAGATTTTTCGCTTTTAAAATCAGTCTAGTTCTTCTCATGGGATTTTGGAGGACTAAGTCAAGCACAAACATTTAGAGCAGAGCATATACATATATGGCAGTAGTTTTCAGCTAGAATCAAATCAAGGTTACTTTATTGTAAACATTAATTATATTCAAGATAGATCAATTAATATAGACTCCCTGGCAACTGCATCCATATCGAATGAATCATACATACAGAATCTTAAAGTACTACCTGACTGCAATTTTTACCCACAGCACTGAACTGCCTCAGTCAGGAAGCCGTGTTAGTGTCATTAACTTGAAATGAAGTCCTGCTTCAAGCAGCATATTTAACGTCTTATTACTATGCAATTTTAAACCAATAGATTTCCTAGACATATGACGCTGCAATACAAAACTTGAGCATTCAGACATTTCAAGTCTTGCAGCTGCCCGAGTTGTAATTTAAGTAAAAGCTAAATATCCTTTACATTGGTTACACAAAAACAAATGTTGAAAAATAAATCTATGAGAGAATTTCCTCCAAACTCAGCCATGTTGTAATACAGGAGCAACCTGAATTGTAGCAAAACCCAGTGTCTAGCTGCACCTCAC